AATGGGAATTGCATTGAAGGATTCAGTATTTATTCAGTAGATATTTACTTTGTTTCATCTATCTGCTAGGCATTTGGGTGAGATATAGTTAATACACTCATAAAAGTGTTTGATACTGGAGTCAAGATAGTATATTGACAACTATAATAAACACATTGTGATAGTTTGATTTACATATTATTTACATTTGATTACATATAATTACATATGGTTACATGGGATTTACATATGTGTTGTAGCTGTCTCTGTGATGGGATTTAGTACAGTTGTACAACATCACAGAGAATATAACACTTAAGATAAGATCTGGTGAATATATAGGCCTTAGAAGAAGGGTCGTCAGGCAGAGAGGACAGGCTGTGTAAAGGCCTGAAAGTGAAGGGGAACATGCCTTTTCATTATTCAGTTTAAAGTCTCAGTAATGAAAGACAGCCAAGTAGAAATATTCAGTAATGATGAGTATTTTCTCACAGTATTTCATTTCTTTGGAAAAGAGCTGTATTTTTCAAATTTACTTTAAGAAATAAAGAATTCTAGGCTGGGGCAGGAGGATCATTAAGTTTAAGCCCAGCTTGGCAACTTAGTGTATTAATGAAACCTTGCCTTGAAAGAAAGAGAAAGAGAAGAAAGGAAAGAAGGCTGGGGCTGTAGCCCCGTGCTAAGGCCCGAGGTTCAATCCCCAGTACCAGGAAAAATTAAAAAAAAATTCTTGTCTTCATTTGCAATCAAGAATCAGCAACTATGGTCCATGGGCTAAATCAGTCTTACTGCCTGTTGTTTTTTAAATGGAGTTTAGCTAAACTTTATAGGATCATAGGCACGCTCTTTTGTTTTACGTGTTATCCACAGATGCTTTTGTGTTATGATTTCAGAGCTGAATATTTGACATAGAAACCCTGTGGCCCATAAAATCTTAAAGTATTTGCTGTCTGGTCCTTTACACAAATATTGCCAGCTCTGTGTATCTGCAGGGTTAGGATGTTTATAGCTATACAATATCTGTTCTATGAGCCATAGAAGGTAATACAGCTATTGGAATCAGAGACGTGGTATTCAAGCTCTTTCTCTAATAGTTAATGTAATTCTCTGAAGTTTAATTTCCTTCTTTGTATTGTAAATAATTTCTTTTTGAAGATCAAAATGCGATCACATGTTCACTTATTTTATATTGAAAGTAACGTGTGAATTTGAGGAAAGTTTTATTTACTCTGTTTCCTTTGGTTTCATATCTAAGTGCTGTTTATAATCATTGCTTTTGTAACTCACCTACAAAAAGATTTTAGTACCCTAAAGTACATTTTTGATGTATACTTTGTATACAATACACTGTTTATACTTTCAGTGCGTAATTTGATGAGTTTTGACAAATATGTACGCCTCTGTCACCGCTGCTCAGGCTGAGATCGAAAGCATTTCCGTCAGCCTGCAGCTCCCTTGTGCCCTCTTACTGTCGTTCCTCGCGCTTTACTTTGTCCCTGGTCTGGTTTTTTCCACTTTGTATTAGTTTCTCTTATTTCTAGAACATATAAGTGAATTCACCATTATGTGGTTTTCTGCACTGATCTGTGTTTTGCTTTTCTTTGCTCAGCATGGCGTTCACCATCTCTGCAATTGTTTATCCTTTTATAATTAAGTCATTGCTCTCCTCTAACAGGTATTAACAGTGTGTGCTTTGATGAGGAGGCAAAACACATAACTGCAATGAAATCTTTAGAGGGAGAAGTTGTACCTTTAAAAAATAAAGTTCTTCTATCAAATAATGTAGAGGTATGCAATTCTTTTTCAAGTATGAAAATAAAAAGAACTAACACATGAAATTTGTATCAAAAATAATTTAGTCAGTTTGTAGGATAGAGTAGCTTAATTCTTTTAGGAAACACACGTCTGCAAGAATGGTTTGTTTTGTTAGACTCAGTATTTTGATATTAAAAAACATGGATCTTTGAAAGATAGCATGTAATTATGAAAATAACTTTGATTTTAGAGTCAAAAAAGTATTAGATAGTAAGCTTGGCTTCACAAATTACTAGCTTTGTGACTTAGTGTCTCAGTTTTCTTATCAGTGAAAGGGAAATGTTAATATCTGTTGCAAAAATCTTCTGTTGAAAAATAATGAGATCATTGATTTCAGGTACACTATGTATTCCTTGGAACATAAGTACTTTAGTAATTTATATAAGTACTAAATAATGCCTCGTTCTCCTTATTCTTTAAAATATTGAATTATATGAGATTATTTAGGTGAACAAGTAAAGTGGAAACTATTACATTTATAGTTTTTTTTTTTAGTATCAGGACATTACATTTTTAGAACAAGTATTGCTTAGTTGTCCAAGACTGGAAGTAAACTTATCAAATGCCTGTTGTAGACATGTTCCTTAATCTAGTCAACAATAATTTATATCACACTGAAATTTTCGGGTTCCAAAATTATCTTCTAAATGGAAGCTGGGGCCATGCCTGAGGATGTGCATATCTGTACAGGCTAGCAAAATAGCTGTTCTTGCTTAGGTCTCAACATTTTATTGGATATTAAATGTGTAAATCACTTAATTAAAAACATTATAGTTTTCCTAATGAGCTCTCATGTTTAAGAATTTTGTTGTGTCCATACCTTAATTTATTGGCACAGTGCATAGAGGAGAAGTTTAAGTTATAGTGACTGGGCTAGAGCATTTATTATGCCAGCAAAGGCAAAGCTGATGCTCTGGAAGCTCTTGTGGTTAGCAGAGCAGGTATCTTTGTTGCCTGAAAGACAGATTCTTATTCTAGCTTCAGTGGCTTTAACACGGGTAGAGGTTCATGGTATGTGCTGTATAGATTAAAAATAAAGCTAGAACTGAAGTAGATGATAAGAACTAACATTATAGTTTTTGCATTTCTATTTCATTTCCAACTATTCTTTTAAAGTAGCGGTACGAGGGGCTGGGGATTTAGCTCAGCGGCACAGCGCCTGCCTGGCAAGCGCAACGTCATGAGTTCGATTCTCGGTACCGGAAACCCTCCCCCCCCAAAAAAAGTAGCTGTACGTAGTCTTTGTTTTTATCAATCATTATTCATTTAACTGCAATCAAATTTTATCATTAAGTAGAAAAATGTATTGTTCTGACTTTGAGGTAAAGTTTTGTCTAACAAGGCGGCCTACACCCTGCCACCCCTGTGCCGCCTGTGCCGTCAGTTGGTTCGCACGCAGCAGTCTCCTCCTGCGAATGCGCCTCTCTGCATCTCCGTCACTGGGATAGCTTGAGCCAGGAGACTGCGCAGTCGTTGTGACTGAATTATTGGCTTACCTGTCCAGCTTATTTGTTGTAATGATGAGAAGAATGGGCCGCTTTTTAAATGTTTTATTATATTGGTCTTTATAGACGTACTAGTTTGGATATAGCTACCCACCAGTGTGAACTTGCACACTCGCCGTGATCCCAAAAGGTGAAAAATTTTTTTCGGGTTATTTGAACCATGTATTAATACACTGAAAAATTAAATGCTATATTACGCATTTTGGGATTGTTAGAGTCAATCAGTATAAACAACGTCAGTCAGTAGATTGCGTAATTGTTTCATGACTAGGGCAGGTTATTGTCTGATTTCATTTTCAGGGTTGGTTGAATGATTTGGCCTTGGAAATGAAGCACACTTTGAAGCAGCTGTTGAAGGAATGTGTTACTACTGGGCAGAGTTCACGGGGCGCAGTTGACCCGTCTCTGTTTCCCTCACAGGTAAAGTGTTATGTCTGGAATATAAGTAGGTGTGGGATTGTGCAAATACCCTTTATGTAGATGCTGGGATGTTAGAATCAGAAAAATGGGATACTTACTGTTTAACCTCTCATATTTTAAGAGAACCAATATAAAAACTGGTTTGAACAGCTACTGTATTTCTCAATCAAAAAAGCAAATAGTGGAGAACTATTAGGCAGATTTTTTTCCTGTGAGAACTCAACATCTCAGCGTCTACCTTCAGTACCTAAGAATGAAAGTTCTCTTTGTCTAACATTAATGTGGACAGATGGCTCAGCTTCTGCGTCTTTTCCTTCAACTATAGAATGTGAAGGATGCACTTCATGGTCGTAAAATTATCTTCCAGCTTCATTAGTTTGCTGTAACTCAAACGGTTTCAAACAGAGGGGGGTGTCGAGGTCTGAGTAACGCAGGCCGATGATGAAGAGAATGGGGAAGGGAGTCAGGCGTGTAACAGCTTCCTAGTTCCAGATATTTAGTCCGTCACTGTGGAGAGGCACAGGGTTTATAACGTTGTTGCCCATACCACCACCCCTCTCTTGGGGTCGTCTAAGAGTGTGGGGCTGGCAGGAATGTAGTTGGGTGTTAATTCGTTCACAGTACTGAACTGGAATATTGGCAGGGAATTGGTCACTCCGTGGGATATAGACATGCTGTAGCTCAGTAACAGCAGCAGCTTATTCCAGGAACGTTGGATACTAGACATGTAGTTTAAAGGACTTGTTCCAGGCCTTATTAAAGTATAGCACTAGTAATGCTTGTGCTACCAGTTTTTCCCTGTCCAAGATGTGGGCCCACCTAAGGCTATCGGTATAGATAATTGTGAACTTTGTCCTTTGGTAGACATTGAGAATTTTCACAGCAAAACCTGCCAGCTTTCAAAGTTACTTGCTTTTTAGATTGAGAAAATTATTGGCTATTGAAACAGGTTTTTATGTTGGTCTTCTTAAAGTATGAAAAGTTAAATAGAAAATGGGGAACATTTTAGATTCTGAGCTGTTTAATCATGTTATCTTTTTAATATTTTTATATTTTGAAGCAAACTAAAATGTTTTTTAAAAATTTTAGGGAAGAGTAAAAGTAACCATCAGTGATTAACCAGTAACACAGAAAATGTAGAATTAAGCTACTTTATTATCTCTGAAAATACTTGCTTGTATTCTGTCAACTTTTAAAGAAAGCTTAAATTGACTTGCAATAAAAGACAAAATGTAGAAAATCCATTAAAGCAAGAATTGACTAATAATTGAGTTAGGGAAATAACTGTTGCGTTGAAAGATTTATTAAGAAACGTAGGCAGAAGGAAGTTATCAGATTTCAACCTGAAAATTGCCTCTAGGTTCTTGAACAGTCAAGTAAAAATACAAATTCTTGAAAATGTATATAGCTCTTGTCTATCTTAACAAAGGATTGCAGTTCATTAGGCATTAATTCTCTTACAAATGTATCTCGAGTATTTGTGTGAAATGGTGGAATACTGTACCTAGTTACGTAAATGCTTGGTAGAGGTTATTGTGTGCTGATACTTCAGCTGCCTTTATCATGGCCTGGAGTGGTGTAGAGAGGGCTGATCTAGAAAGAGACAACCTGGTGAAGTTGAAAAATGTCCCACAGGTGATGGTTTATTTTTCAGTTATTCTCTGAATGATACATTTGACACATAGTTAAGATATTATAATAGCACCTATATTACCAAATTATTTTGAAGGTTATTTGGAAAATGTTTACAGAGCACCCTTAGTGACTATTACATTTTAGGTATTAGTAATATTACTGCCTGTCCTAATATCTTAATGGTTATGTGAGGTGAAAATCCAAGACTGGTGCTGACCTTCACTTCTGTTAGTCTCTCACAGATATTATGTAGCATACTGTTAAAAGTTGAGATCATTGATGTTCATTCTGGAACTAAGAAATGCTGGATGAAAGGACATCTATATATTTGGGCTTTAGGCTTGGAAATAGCATGTGAACATTTCTATATGTCAATTAAAGAGCAAAGTCTTTTTCAAAAAGCACATTTGGAGCTGGTTAAATGTTTAACTATATAACCTGATTAAAGAAGCTGGTGAGTTTGTGCCACCTAGTGTAGTGAAATAACTTCACCCAGGAAAGAGTTACTAATTGGCTTTATCTTCCATAGAGTAATCTTAATATGGTATTTGTAGAATAAGTTAGAGTAAGACAGAAGCTCAGCCGGCTCTGATGTTATAAAATATGTGGATGGATGACTCAATTAATATGATAACTATTGGGTGGTATTCATCTTAAGACAATTAAGATATTCTAGCAGCACACTGAAAGATTAAAATGCTCGGTTTTTTATTAAATAGGATACATTGTATTCTGATATCTCTAAATCTTAGTGGTTGAAAGAAAGGTATTTCAGAGGAGAATCAATGGCCATAAGTATAAAAGCATTTAGGGTGTAATAAACTTGGAGGATTCTAGGATCAGAAGGTAGAGTGTAGCAGAGTGTAGTAAGAAATGAGTTCTAGGAAGTAGGGTTGACACAGGGATTTTACTACTGCTGTGTTGCCCTGCTAATAGTTGAGGTGGCAGTATGACATTCACGTGAGCTATCTAATTTACAGTTGACAATTCAGAAAAGGTGTTTTTCCTTAAATCTATAAAATATTTCTAAGAAAATTCACTTTTTAAACTAATGTTTTTTCTTTATTCCATAGATACTATGCTTGGCAGAGCAGATTAAGTTCACTGAAGATGTAGAGAATGCCATCAGGGATCATAGTCTTCATCAGATTGAGACACAGTTGGTGAATAAGTTAGAACACTACACCAACATTGATACCAGTTCTGAGGATCCAGGGAATACTGGTATAGAAAAAATGTTCCCCTTTTTTGCCTGGTTTAGGTTATTCAAATTTTTTTAACCTATTTAATTTATTTTGTTCTGGATTGTGTATCTATCCATCCATCCATTCATTCATCCATCCATTCATTCATTTTGCTGATTACTGTGCAATTTATTATATAAATATATATTTTTAAACCTTTTATATTGTGCTTAGAATCAATAAATGTACTTCTTTAAGTAGAATGTAGAAATTTTACCCAATATAGACACCTTTATCCTCCTCATTTCATGCTGCATTCATCTCATTGTTACATCTCTACACACTGAAATAATAGAACTGGGAATACCAAAGGAGGGCAAAAAAGAAGTACGTTTACCATTAATTTTGTGACATTTCTAATTCTGGTCTCCTCCCAATTTGCCTGCCTTTCTTTACTTTCCAGAGACCTAAAATAGTAGCTCACTACATGTCCAATTGTTTAACCTACACTCAGATGGAAAAACCCAAGTGGAGTGTCCTTACTCCTTTGAATAAGAAACCAGAACTCTTACTGAAATTTGATGCCCTAATTTTTAATAATTTTTATTATTTCTTGCTGACATTTTTTGGCATATACAATTTATATTACTGTACTATTGAAATGTATTGTGAAACTATCATTTATTTTGTTTTTTTTTGTTTTTTTTTGTTTTTTTTTGTTTTTTTTTTGTTTTTCTCTGGAACCGGGAACCGAACTTACGACCTTGCGCTTGCCAGGCAAGCGCTTTTGCCGCTGAGCTAAATCCCCAGCCCCCGAAACTATCATTTAAATTCATTCAAAAGTCACTTTTATACATACTAAGTCACTGGCTGATGTTTTCTCCTGTTACGTTTCTTTTTGTGCAGAAGTAGGCATTCTGGAGCTTAAACTTAAAGCCCTAATTCTTGATATTATTCATAATATTGATGTGGTGAAGCATTTAAACCATGTTCAAGTTCATACAACGGATGACTGGGCTTGGAAAAAGCAAGTTAGATTCTATTTGAAAAGCGATCACACCTGCTATGTTCAAATGGTGGATTCTGAACTTCAGTACACCTATGAGTATCAGGTATGACTTGTGGTGAAGTAGTTTATTTTTCTAGGTAGAAATCATTTAAAGGAAATTTGCTATTGGAGGAAATATTTTTATTTCTATTGTAGTTTTTCAATTTTTTTGTACTATTGTTTTCTTTTCTTCACCAGAATTTAAAAGGTGTTATATAAGATAATGTAAACTATAATTCTGCTTATAAAACGTTGAAATATCTCCAGGCTTGTCCTGAAGTCTATAAGATGTTTTATTGGTGATACTTATGTACTTGACTCTTTCAAAAAGGAAATGTATTTTGACACCCGAATCTGTGTGCCTCAATTGAGGAAAAGTCCTATAAATAACCACTGAGGGTACAATCGCTTTTCCTTACAGTTTAGTAAAATTTTTGAGAATTACTTGAGAAGTTACTACTTTCATGAAAAAAATTTAAGTTGTGTTTTGAGCTCTCTAATGTAGTTCTGATTCTTGTTGATCACGAATGTGAGAAATAATTTACATACATTTAAAGATATGAAATGGAAAATTTATTGTACAGTATGTTTTTAGATTTGTCTATCTTAAAAGTAATCTTTCTGCCATTGTCAAGGACATGAGAGACTATTTAGAAACCTAACGGTATGATAGTTGAGAATAGAATGAAACACATGCCTGAGAAGTAGCTAAGGTTGAGCCTAGTTTGTGCTTTAGAATGTTTATTTCAGTGGGCTGGGGATTTAGCTCAGTGGCACAGCGCCTGCCTGGCAGGTGCAAGATTGTGAGTTCGATTCCCAGTACTGGAAAAAAAACAAAAAAAAAAAAGAATGTTTATTTCACTAAGAAAAACTTTGGATGTTTTCTGTGATAAAAACCGTTAACCTGTTTGTTGCATGTTTAGCTTCTTAGGTAGACTGTCCCCCCCATGCAAATGTGTGTAAATGCTGAGCAGAATATGAATACCCTGATGTGCTTCCCTTGTGTAGGGTAACGCTCCCAAGCTGGTCTGTACCCCGCTGACGGATAAGTGCTACCTGACTCTCACTCAAGCCATAAAGATGGGACTTGGAGGAAACCCTTATGGCCCCGCTGGAACTGGAAAGACCGAATCAGTCAAGGCATTAGGTGGACTTCTTGGAAGACAAGTTTTAGTTTTTAATTGTGATGAGGTAGAATAAATAATTGTTAAAATACATGATAGTGTGTTAAATATGTGTAGATTTGTTTTCATGTACTTATTTAGTAACTAGTCTATTTCCTAGTTTTAAAGTGCTTTTTAGCAAGAAGAATATTATATAGTGGAAAAGAAGGTTTTTTCCCCAGTAACAACTGCAATGTTCCAGCTGTCCTCTCCCACCCCCCGCAGAAGAAAAGTCTTAAATTCATTTAAAATTACTATTTTCACTACATTTTAAAACCACTCTGAAGTTTGAAAGAGTAGCTACTTAACCCCTATTTTATTTTATTTTGAGACAAGGTCTTGCTATGTAGTATAGGCTGACCTTGAACTCACAGCAATCCTCCTGCCTCAGCCTCATGAGTGCTGGGATTACAGGTACGTGCCATCATGCCTGGCTAATCCCTATTGTAAAAGAAGCAAAAGAGACATAGATGGGTGAAATGATTATCCATGAATGGCATGAAATACTAAATTATTAGATATTTCAATTATTTTTAATAAACATTTTTGTTATCATTTTTAAGGGCATCGATGTGAAGTCAATGGGGCGGATATTTGTTGGTTTGGTAAAGTGTGGGGCCTGGGGTTGTTTCGATGAATTCAACAGACTGGAAGAATCTGTGCTGTCAGCAGTATCTATGCAAATCCAGACAATTCAAGATGCTTTGAAGAATCATAGAACTGTGTGTGAACTGCTTGGCAAGGAGGTAAAGATTATATTGGGAACGTATAGAACTGAAATATTTTGTAAGACCTGGCGTTACTCACACTCAGGAATTCTCCTCTCTCTGTTTCTCTTGTACTCGTGTTCCTAGTCTGGGACCCGTGTGCTAAGCTTTTTATCTATGAATGTCTCTGAGGTTTCTTCTCCTGTCTTGGCCCCACTTTCACTACTGATCTTTAAACTTTCAATGTGGACTGTGCATATTTTGTCATTCATGTGGGCACCGTGCATCCCACTTTAATGTTCTGTCTCTAATACCACAACCTGCTGATGTAGGTAATTACCTTGATAGTGCTCACAGTGGAGCTGGGAAGTGACTTTAGGTCTGTCTACTTCTGAGGCACATGTTTTTAAGCACTCAGCTATTCTGTTCATCACGTCTCTCTGTAGGAGATACTCATTCGTGTCATTAGAGTGTAAACTCATTTGGATAGCAGGTACAGACATCCCCAATAGACGTGTAATGCTGAGCACACCAGCAGTTGTGAGAACTGTGAAATTATTCTGTTCGCCATAATAACCTTTTCATAACACACATTTGTCTGGGTATCCCAAGGAAGTAAGGCCAGTTCTACACTGTGTTTTTTTTTTTTTGGTATTTCTCCGGTACTGGGAACTGAACTCACGACCTTGCGCTTGCCAGGCAGGCGCTTTTGCCACTGAGCTAAATCCCCAGCCCCAGTTCTACATTGTTAATGTGTGAGTTACATGGTGCTTAAACTCGTTATAAGTTTGAGGAATTTATTTATGTTTTTCTTCCTCTGAAGAGGAGTTGTTCTTGTTCCCAAATAGTACTAATCTTTGGCCCCTGCGCTGTGGCATCTATTTCCGGAGACCTCTTAGTTTCCTCCTGTGCTAGAGCTCCAGTCTTCCCTCTTCTGCTGTTGCCTTGCTGGCCTTCAGATGTAATCAGCCTTTTCCGTCTTAGTGATACTTAAAGCGTAAGCAGTCTTACTTGAGTTCATCTTCCCTTACAACACCTGCCTTTCTCTTTTTCTTTTGTAACCAGATTTCCTGGCTTCATTACTCTGGGTGTTTTTACTTAGCAATTGTTCCTTCACTGTTTACATGTTGTGGTTGAATTTTTAGTCTTAGCTGCCTTGAACACGCTGCTGCCAGCTGCTCTCGTGACATTGTACTCTTCCATGTCCTAGTTCACCCCCGCTAGGACTGCGTCTGTGTAGTATTAGGTAGCCTGTGCGTGCGTGTCAGAGAGCACAGGCCGTCATTACCTCCAGTTCAGAGCTCTCCGTGTGCAGTAGCGCAAAGAAGGCTTTTATTAAACACAGGCTGAGTGAATGAGTAGCATTCAAATTAATTACCTTTTCTTAACCTCTCCGTTTTAAACACCTGAGGGAAAAACCTGTGTAAAGCAGTGCATTTCTAAGGAGTTTATTTTATGTTTAGTAAGGAGATGGGTAGCCTATTGGAGGTTGCTTTTTACTAAGATACAAGACTTATATAGAAAAATGTTACAATAAAATTTCTCTTATTTATAATTTCAAACTTCTGATGCCTATACTCTAAATTAATATTTCAGGTAGAATTGAATTCTAATTCTGGAATTTTTATCACTATGAATCCTGCTGGAAAAGGTTACGGAGGAAGACAAAAGCTGCCTGATAATCTTAAACAGCTTTTCAGGCCAGTGGCTATGTCGCATCCAGACAATGAACTTATTGCAGAAGTTATTCTCTATTCGGAAGGCTTTAAGGATGCTAAAGTACTGGGCAGAAAATTGGTAGCTATTTTCAACCTATCTAGGTGAGTTTTCTTCTTTAAATATGTTTGTACCTTGTATTACTCATGAATGATTATGGTTATTAGCTTTTCTTTTGCTTTTTTTTTTAGTACTGGGGCTTGAACTCTGGGCCTTCACACTGAGCTACATTCCCAGCCTTTTTCAAAACTTTTGAGACAGGGTCTTACTAACATTGCCAATTGCCTAGGCTAGGCAGAAACTTATGATCTTTATTCTTCAGCCTCTCAGAGTGCTGGGATTACAAGTGTTTTCTACCATACCTGATGGAAAGATTTACTGTTTTTGTTGTTTGTCTGTTTGAGACGGGTTCTTCCTGGGTGGTTCAGGCTGGCCTTGAACTCAAGGCAATCTTCTTGCCTTAGCCTCCAAGTACTGAGATTTTTAAGGTGTGCCACCATGCCTGGGCTGGAAGATTGTACTTTGAAGAATGAAAACACCTGGCTCCAAACTACTCATTTTTTCTGAAAGCTTAGTTGATATTTTTTTTTCAAATATTTATATTGGAGCACTAAGTGATTCTTAATGAACTAATTTACCAGACAGCAACTCAAAATCTGGCCTCTGCAGGGAAGCTTTCACATTCTTTACTTTGGTTTTCTAGTAGTAGAGGCTCGCTCTTAGCCTCTTTGGCACGACAAGTACTGTGTTTTGTATCCCTTAGAGAGAGTAGGGAACCAGACCGCGCCCGAGGTGGAGAGCTGGAAGGGGTGGTTAAATGAAAGAATAAGGGCGATAGGTGGTTGTCATTTAGTATTGTTATTAAGATAGTTTACAAAGGTTAATCCTAATGTTTGAGAACCATCTGTTTTCTTTTTTTTTTTTTTTGTTTTTTTTTTCTCCGGTACCGGGAACCGAACTCACGACCTTGCGCTTGCCAGGCAGGCGCTTTTGCCGCTGAGCTAAATCCCCAGCCCCAGAACCATCTGTTTTCAATAGCTTGCTTGAGCAATTGTTTTTGTGGTTGGCTTCTTTACATAAATTAAAGGCGTCTCAGTCTTCATTTCTTTGTGTTGGTAGTTGTGTTTATCGTTCTTTGCCTGTGATGATGCAAGATCCCTTACAGCTGCGTGATGAGTTACTCTTTTCACGTCTTTCAGGGAACTTCTGACCCCTCAGCAGCATTATGATTGGGGCCTGAGAGCTTTGAAGACGGTTCTAAGAGGAAGTGGAAATCTCCTTCGACAGTTAAAGAAAAGTGGTGCTGAACAGAATGGTATGATTGACTATTCCAATTATAGTAGCTTATTCTTAAAAACAAGCTTGAACTTGGAATGGTTTTATATTTATAGAAAGTTACACAGTGTAGATGCTTTTTGTATGCTGTGCCCCAGTTTGGCCTAATGCTAATATCTCACATTATGAGAGTACGTTTCTCACAACGAATTCAATAATTTTTGTATGCTTTTTATTAATTAAATTTCTTAGTTTGGTTTTTAATCCGATGTCCTAGAATAATTTGTTTGGGGTGGAGGTGCTGGAGATTGAAACCTGACCCAGGTGCGTGCTAGGCATGCTATGACAAGCTGTACCCTCAGTGCCTTCTGTAAGAACTTGAACACGTGTATTAAATATGAAATAGGTGTGTTCTCTGGAGAAATAGTGTAGTCTACTTGTTCTTAAACTGTAATGTCCATTAGAATCACCTAGTGGCTCGTTAAACTACAGTTTGTTGGCTGCACTATCGAAGTTCTTCATAAAGGAGATGTGGAGTAGAGCCCATGTGTGTAGTCTTGATAACAACAGAGACTTTAGAAGCACATGAAAGTCCTTCTCTTTCGAAAGACAATCTGCTGTGATTAACTTGGACTATGAGTCTTTGGAAAGAATATGGTGGAGGTGGAAAGCTCTGTTAACGCTTTGTGTTAGTGAGGGTATATTAATCACATGACATCGCTGCTCCGTTCTCTTTTATCACTTGGCTAAATTGTTATTTGCCAGTCTCTCCAGCATAAGGTTGTATTTTCCCTCCTCCCTACTTGATGTTTTGGAAACGTATTAAGAGATCTCGCATGCTGTGAAAGTGAGGAGGCCGGTATTAAGCTGTACCCCTTAGAAGTGGAATATCTGCATTATTATTTGAAATTGTTCAGTAAAGAAGATTTGTCTTCTTGAAGTGATAATGGCTTTCATTTTTATACTTATTAAATTATTTAGTTATATCAGTACGGACTCCTGTATATTCCTATTATACTTCACTCATGTGAAGTAATTGATTTTCCACTCAGTATACATGATTTCCCTTTGTCAGTGGGCGTATGTGTAATGAAATGTTGACTTTTCAGCCTCCCCAAGTTTCTATGAAAAACTGAATTAATATATTGTAAAAGTAAGAACCACGTAAAAAAAGGACTACATGAAATTACCTGTTTGAAATTAAAAATAAAATCAAGTATATATGCATATTATAAAAGGAAGCTACATTAGCTCTTTTTAGGTTGACATATGCAAGGGCAGATATGGCTGTTTTGTGACGTGCATTCATAATCTTTTTCCAGTTGTCTCTGGTTTTAAAGACATACTTCAATCATACCTGTAATAAATAAAGATGGCTTATTAATTCAGTGCTTGAAATGAACTCCAGAGCACCCAAATCTTTTTTTCTCCAGTTCTCTTTATATTTAAATGTAGCATTATCAAGCAATTATAGAGAAAAATTCCAAGTTAACTATACATGTATATATTTGCCTTTGTGTGTGTTATATAAATCACCTGCTAGTATCCTTGAACATAAGGGTGGGTATGTTAGATAGTGATATTAATATATACATTTGATCTAAGAAAACATGGGGCTGGTCAAAGATTACCGTTCATTGTGTTATTTTTAGGTTTAGGACATAAACTATCTGGGAGGTAATATTACCATATTTGGAGAGATAGTTAAATCTGGAATTGGCTTACCTAGATTTGAATACCAACCATAATACCGTGGCTCTTCAAGCAAGATGTTAAACTGTTAAGAGACTTTAGGTTCTCATATGTAAAACTAGAATAATAACAGTAACACTTTCTTATTTACTTTAGAGTTGTTACAAGAAACCTGTCATAGAATATAAAAGAGTATTATGTGAATAGGAGTGATGATGGTTTTCATTACTAAAGTCTGCGTATGCTAGAATTCAAACCCTGTGGAAAGGATTTTCTAACTCCACCCAGTGATCCTCAGTTTTCAGTAGTTACTAGATAATGTATTTGCCAATTTACCTGAGTTAGTATGTCTTTAAATGTTTCTTATGTGTCATTGAATCAGTAATTATGCCTTTGAAGCCACTTAAGTAAACTTACAAACTTAATTTTGATAACAAAATTATCATTAAATTGATAACAAGTAATTTTAAGATGGAGTTTTTCTCTAGCTAATGAAAGTCGTGTTGTGGTACAAGCATTGAGGCTTAACACAATGTCGAAGTTTACGTTTGCTGACTGCACCCGATTTGATGCACTGATTAAAGATGTCTTTCCTGGAATTGACTTTAAAGAAGTAGAGTACGATGAACTAAGTACTGCATTAAAGCAGGTCTTTGAAGAGGCCAATTATGAAATCATACCCAACCAGGTAACTGTCAAGAATATTTTATAAGGTTTATTACTTTCTGGATAGTGCTTACCCTTATCATACCTTTCCAAACTCAGCTTTCCACTTTCCGCTTTAGTCTTACTTGCCCAGGGAAGCCTTCTTCAGTCTTAAAGTCCTGATGTAGCCTTTTGCTATGTGTTTTCATTACCCTTGAGAGGCTAAGATAGGAGGATTGCAAGTTCAAATCTCACCTGGGTGACTTAGGGAAACACCATCTCAAAATGAAAAATGAAAAGGGGTAGGGATGTAGTTCAGAGGTAGAGCACCCTCGGGTTCCATCCTATGTGGTTCAGAAAGAGAATACTCTCTTTGCACATGTTTGCTATTTTTGTATTTGATTAATATTGATTCTGTCTCACCAGATAATAATCTTTATGGAAGGTAGTATCTCTTTGTATTATCCTACATAAAATAAATCCATCATATATTTTTTGATAATTGATTGTATGTGATTTAGTTTCATTTTGATGATTTCCTTGGAGAAACTTTTCAGTGAGTCTATCTAGGTAACATAAATAGTTATTTAAAATGAATAGTTTTTGCACAGACAGTATTTGAGAGATATAAGACGTAAATAGATGACTGAATGAAAAAGTGAATAAAATAATGAGTGTGTTGTATTTTTATGTAAGAATAAGTAAAGAAAACAATAGGATATTGTTAAATACACAGAAAGTGTCTACTTATTTTAAACAAATATTGAATTTGAAGATTTTGTTGTAATTATTTTTAAATTTGTTGAGCTATTCTGTTTAAGATTTTATCTTTCACTGAAGAAATCAAAGACTAAATTTACATGTTTGGAATAGAACAGTTATGTAGAATGAAAGCAAAACTGAGCATGATTTAATATTATAAATGACATATAAACATACTTCTTTCCTACTAGATCAAGAAGGCTTTAGAATTGTACGAACAGTTGCGCCAGAGGATGGGAGTCGTTATCGTTGGTCCAAGTGGTTCTGGCAAATCAACTCTTTGGAGAATGTTAAGGGCATCGCTCTGTAAAATTGGCAGAGTAGTAAAGCAATATACCATGAATCCAAAAGCTATGCCTCGGCATCAGTTATTAGGCCACATTGATATGGATACAAGAGAATGGTCGGATGGTGTTTTGACAAATAGTGCTCGTCAAGTGGTTCGGGAACCACCAGGTTAGTCTCCGCTGTGCAGTTCATTGATTTACATAATAATTCTTAGAGAATAATAGAACTGGCCTATAACGTTATCCTTATCAAGACATAGACATTAATGTAAAATATCTTATAATGATGTGTTTTTGACATTTTATTGAGACATGCTATAATTTTGATGTAATTCTTTCTTATTGTATAGTTAAAACTCAAAATAAATTGTGTAAGTTCTAATCAAGACCAATTTAATGGAGAAATATAAAAGTTTTAATTGCTGAGTTGATATCATAATGCCTTATATAACTGGTGTGGGTGAACACTATTAACTTGTCAATTTGAATAGATTGTTTTGAATAATTTTGAAATTTTAAGTGGTAACACAGTAGATTTCCTGGTCAGTTTTTTTTGACTTGCTCTTTAAGAGAATTTTTTGCCAAAATCAGAAGAGACTCAAATTTTGCTAGGTCATAATTTAATTAGTAATTTTCCTAAGACACTGAGTGAAATTGGAAGATGCTGGAATTCTAAAATATTGGAAGGGATTTTCAGTGGTCTCTTCATTTCTGTGTATCACATTAAATAATGATCAGATATTATATAACCTTCACTTATTTCTCATGCTTTTAGTGATGACCTTTCCTCTTTTAATTGTTACAAATTTTAAGTGCATCTTAAACTACTTCCAGTTTAAGAAGGGGGATATAAAATGTTCCTCAAAAGACTGCATACAACTTGGTCATTGCTTTTTCCTTTTGAAGTTACCTTTCCATATGAAAAAAAAAAATAGTGACAGTAGTTAATTATTTCTCATGTGGGTACCAAAAATTGAGTTTTCTATATTTTCTGAAAGAGATATCCCATTGACAAACATTTACATATTGTTATATCGTGGAAGAAAACAACAGTTTGAAGACTGCTTTATGGATATCTCATGGAAATAGAAACTTGTCTTCTGTGCTACTTTTTTTGGTGGGGTTCCAATAGATAAATAAAGCATTTTTACGTGGTAACTAACATGGCCAGCTGAGCCAGCATTACCTGAGGGTTTTTTTTTTAGCAGCCCTATACACGAGAAATTTCAGCTTGATCAACTTTCTGTTCCTTATGTTCAGCTTTAATAATACAAAATAATGCCTATGCAAATAAGAGATAATTTATTCCTTTATTTTTAATTATTATCACTACATATTCACCATACATATTAATGATCTCTGCTGTTATGGTTGGGAAACAGATGTCAGCTCGTGGATAATCTGTGATGGCGATATTGACCCCGAATGGATAGAGTCTCTGAATTCTGTTCTGGATGACAATCGACTTCTCACTATGCCAAGTGGGGAAAGGATTCAGTTTGGCCCAAATGTTAACTTTGTGTTCGAAACCCATGATTTAAGCTGTGCCTCACCAGCCACAATATCTAGGATGGGGATGATACTTCTTAGGTAAGCCATAGGGAATTTACGTACATTATATTAGAATATTCTTTATCGTTTTGTTTTATAGGAAGTGAAATAAGTGTAAAAATGTGTTAATATTTATTTTGCCCATTAAATTCTTTTTTGTGAAGGTTTAATTCATTCAGAATTATTTTTTTATATTGCAATTGAATTATTTCAGCAGTTTAGTTTTATATTTACTAAATAATAATATTTTTGTTTATTTAGGGAAATAGCAACATTTTTTGTTTATTTAGATATAATTGAGTGCAGAGAAATGAACATATTAGTAAAGTAGGAACTGATAATTTAAAGCTCAGTAACAGTATTTTAATTATATTATCTTGCATTTATAGAATTTTAGGGCTACTTTAATAAGTCCTGTAGTCCAAATTTTTCCTTTTACAAAAGGAAAAAAACCCTTTAATATTTTCTTCTTCAGTATATTGGGAAGAAGCTTAAAGAGCAAAAATGAATTAATTTATGTTTTTTTTTTTTTTTTTTTGGTTTTTCTCCGGTACTGGGAACCGAACTCACGACCTTGTGCTTGCCAGGCAGGCGCTTTTGCCGCTGAGCTAAATCCCCAGCCCCCAAAAAATGAATTAATTTAAACATCATTTATGATAGTCACATATCAGAGCATGGACATTTGAACTAATTTCATTTCCCAAAATGTAATAGTTTGCCATAAATAAGGAAGTTTTGTTTTACTTTTTTGATAGTATGTTTTAGAACTTGTTGTTTATCACCCACATAAAGTGCTCGCTATTTGGGGCCATTTGGAAGGAAAGTAGTGTGAGACATAACACTATAATTAATTAGGTTCAGATTGTGTTTTAAAATTGTTTATTTCTTTGACAATATTGTGGAAGTAGTTCCATTAAGTTAGTCATGAACTTCAGTTTATATGAGTTGTTAAAAATAATGCAACTGAACTTATAGTTTCATAGCAGCTTATATACAGAATTCATCACTTATCCAATGTACTCTTATAATCTTGTGGGAAAATTAGAGTGAAAGGTAAGTGTATAGTTAAATTTGAATATTTTCTATGTGATAGACTAAATAGGGATCTTTCAGTAGTGGAATGGAGTGTTGATTATTACACATGGGTACACATACAGAAGGAGCCCAACTATCTCTTGTATGTGAGAAGACAAAATGTGTGGAATGATCCATTTTAGAGCAGAAATTTACCTGAAAGTAAATTTGTAATTTCTTTCTAAATAATTTCTTGTGTTTTTATGTTAATCTCTTTTAGTGATGAAGAGACAGATGTTAATTCTCTGATAAAATCTTGGTTGCGGAATCAGCCTGTTAAATATAGAAATAATCTTGAGAACTGGATTGCAGATTATTTTGAAAAGGCTTTACAGTGGGTTCTAAAACAGGTAGGCTGAGTATAATACTTCATACGTAATCACTGAAGTAAGGAATATAAGTTTAGAATGGTGCTCATATTTTGCTGCCTGAGATAGGACTCTGCTGGAACCTGGGGTTGAGGCTGAGGGATAGCGTTGGAGTCTACAGGTGTCTTTTGGCATAGCTCCTTAATACATTAGTTTTAAATCATTTCAATTTTCCCATCTACAGTACCTTCATAGATGACCTAAAAACCTTGAATGTTGGAATGTCTTTATAGTTTCACTAATTAACGTTTTATCTTGTTTCATTTTACTGTCAATAAATACATATGTATCATGGTAAATACAGTATTAAGCCAATTTAAAGTAGAAAAAGAATGAGGATTTATTTACAGTAATTTGGGAAACATTTGTTTATTCAACAAAAGTAATTGAGTAGTGTATGTCAAGCATAATACTACAGAGATTTTGCGAGGGGCAGCACAGTGGTCCCTTTCCTTGAGAAGGGCTTGTCTTATGAAGGACATTGCCGCATAAACAGATAATCATAATATAATGGGTGAAAAGTATATCGCTGTCTTTTAGAAGAGTTAAAAAAGAAAGAGATCATACTTGGTTTTGAATTTGAAGCATGAATAAAAGTTTGGCAGTCCAGGAATTTTTCAGCTTTTCTTGGCTTTGCTTTTATGCTATTACTTTTATGAAAAACTTAAACATATGCAAAAGAGAAAAAATAAATAGCAGTGTGTTTTGAAAGTATCCAGTTATTAATCTGAACTGAATTAGTGGTCAGTACTTTGGGATGGAACAAAATGTACAGATAGGGAGATTTAGCTGTAGTGTCCTCGGCTTTTTTCTTTTCTGATTTTATAAGGAAGAAAGTCTGAGGAACAGGGATTTGTGAGGAAATGCCGCAGATGAACTAGGTGTCTCTGGGCCTCAGGCAAGGGCATTCCCACCAGCCCCAGTCTGACCAAGCTACCTCCTAAGTACTTCTGTAGCAGTACAACATCTGCCATCTATGTATATAATAATTACTTATTTATATTAAACTGTAAGCGCCTTGAGGGTGTCTCATTCCTTATTGTATCTTTGGAAGCAAGTATGGCAGTAGCAGAGCAGTGAGTGAATGATAATGTATGTGCTTAATTGAATACCCCTTTCTAGCATCTTTTCAGTAGATATACATTTAATAAAAAATATACAGAGCTTAATAATGATCTTCAGTGTAAATACTGTGAGATCATCTGCTTGCCTGCTATGAGAATGTAAGATAGAATTAAGGGACATAACAGTAGATGGAATATTTTTATGTGTATATAGGGGTTTGACTGCAGTCCTGTAGGATAAGATTTAATCCACAGAGTAGATATCAGTGATTCAACTAGAAAATAAGCTGATTCTGATGGAGGTCAAGTCCTGGTTTTGCTTCAAGAATTTTTTTTTTAATGTGTTGAGATTTCTTCTTTTCCTTTGTTTTCTGTTTCTATTCTGAGATATAACACAATAAATACTTTAGTCGTGCTGAAATTTTACTTATAACTTGTTTATTTTACTTATAACTTATAACAAAGTTCTTTAACTAGAACTTTGTTTTCTTGCATTAACTGAGCAAATAAAAGAATCTAGAGCAGTAAATATGTGGGTTGTATCCTGGAACTCTAAATGTGAGCTACCAGCTGGGTTTCCCTCCGCTTTCTTCTTCCCACTCTTTTTCCCTTTTCTCTTTTCTTCCAAAATAATTATATAAGCGGAATGGTCCTTTTTGTAATGTAAAGTGATTCATTTTACCTTCATTAGAAACACTTTAAAAACAATGCAAGTAAAATTTGTAGTCCTTAGCATGGCCTGTAAGTTCTGCACTTTGGTCCTTTTCTGCTTCTCTGATTTAAATCACTGATATCTCACTTCCTTGAGGCATAAGCTTCTCTCAGTGTCTTTACTGCACCATGTTCATTTGCATATGCTGCATTCTCTGCCTGGCCACATAGTTTCCATTCTTTAGATGTTAACTTCAGTGTCACCCTTTCCGGGGAGACCTTGAAAGTGCAGTATGAGGCGCCCTTTCTCTCAAAACTCTTGTACAGTTCTGCAGCCCCTACTGCAGCTTGTAACCATCTCTTCTTTGTGTTTATGTTTCTTAAAGGTAGAGACTACCTTTAATCTGCTGAAGATCTGCCACAGTTCCTCATGCCTGAGTGGTTCTCAGTAAGCATTTCTGAAAAGGAGAACCAGTTTTCATCCGAACTCTGGCATTTACCAGAGGCCCCAGAAATCTGTAGATCAAAACCATGTGTATCACCTGAGTCCAGAAGTTTCATTTTAAAATTCTGCCTCTGGAGAACCTCTGAATTGTTTTTCATGAAGTGTGCTTTTTGTAGCTACCTTTTACCCAGAGCCATCAACCAGGGCGTTTGCCTGTAGTTTCTTTTATTATTAGCGAGAATAAATGGACAACTATTCTTTTTGGGCTAGTGTTTACTTTTCTTTTATATTTTTCAGGTTTAGGAAGTAGTCAAACCTTGTATTTTAGGATGTTAGCATTTGCAGCTTAAAATATGTAAATTCTTTTTTTATATATAATTGAATAAAGTCCAGACTTTCTATGGCTTAGTGAGAAGACTGAATTTAAAGGTGGTTATCTGAAAAGACGCATGAAAGTCAGTTGTATGATTTTAAGTTTAGTGGTTAATATATATATTTTTTTGTCTGCCCACGCTATGGATTTTAATCAACAGAATGATTATGTGGTGGAAACAAGCTTGGTTGGGACTGTGATGAATGGTTTGTCCCATCTGCGTGGATGCAAAGATCATGACCAATTTGTTGTTAATCTCATAAGGGGACTTGGTGGAAATCTGAATATGAAATCACGTGTGGAATTCACCAAAGAGGTAATGCATATTTAAAGCTTATTCAGTCTGTTCTTTCACTTTATTGACCCCTAGCTGTCAAGATCAGTGATTTGTAATCATAAGGTGTAGAACTTTTAAGTTTTGAAATGCTGTGTTTATTGGAGCAATAGTGCATGTGTGTGTGTACATGTGCAGTTTCTCCTTTGGTCTAATTTGTCTTTGATCTAACTTATGATATTTAATATTATTATTAAAAACTTATGAAATAATGTTTTGATAGGTTAAAGTTTAGAACCTAGAACTATGTTAGGCATTTGTGAAAATACTTAGCCATATGAGTATGTATAATAATTTCCTTCCCTTTTAATCTTAAAATATTTTCTATCATCCTTTTACACAGAAGAGTTCTAGCAATTAACAATACTAGGATAGATACATGATTAGTAAGTCTTTAATATAGTCGAAGGTTGTATTTTATCTAATTGTTACAAAGCTGACTTGTAACCAGAAGGGGTTTTCTGACAGTTGTTCTCCACTGCAATAATTGCACCTCTGTCCCTTTGGTTTGGTGTCGTTATGTTTCGCTCCTTTTTCCATCTGCCTGCTGCTGCTTCACAGACCCCTTGTTGCTTTCTTCCTTCCGCTTGCCTCTCTGCTCCTGTTATTTCTGTTGTCGGAAGCTTCTCATTGCTACCACTCACTGCCACTCGGTGTGCTGCTTTGAAGGGGAACTCTTGTAAAAGTTCAAATAAAGGTGTTGAAAAGTAGCAGTGGGCAGACTCAGCTTTATATCTCTACTGCAGCTTTTAGTATGAACAAGAAAAGTAACACTCAGAGTGCAGTGGAACAGGCAGCGCTAGGATATATTGGATATGAATGGCTTAAGATTCCTACGCTCTGCAGTTAGTGAATTAGTGCTTTTAAGAACTCCATTCAAAGTGGAAAATAGATATACCTTGGTGTGTAAATTCCTACCGACTTGATTTCTTCTGTATGTACTTTTATTTGCTTAGATTATTGTTTAGGGAAAAATGTTTAAGATGAATTGTTACTGTAATTATAGTTTACTTCTAAGTAGGTGTTATGTATATGAACTTTAAAACAAAGATAATCCACTTTGTGGACATTTACTGTGAAGAATTAAAGAAACTCACACTATGTTTGGAGCCTGTGAAAACTCTGCACAACTTTTCCCTCTGAAGGTTTTTAACTGGGCACGAGAATCCCCTCCCGACTCTCACAAGCCAATGAACACCTACTATGACTCAAACAGAGGGCAGTTGGCGTCTTACGTGCTGAAGAAGCCGGAGAACCTGACTGCCGATGACTTCAGTAATGGCCTAGCGCTTCCAGTCGTTCAGACGCCTGACATGCAGCGAAGTCTGGATTACTTCAAACCTTGGTTAAATTCCGATACTCAGCAGCCATTTATTCTCATAGGTCCAGAAGGATGTGGCAAAGGGTAAGAAAAATGTCAGCAGATGTGCTTTTGTGCATTCGTGCCCCTCTTCCCCAGTGATTTTGTTAGTATCTACATTTTCTTGAGGGGTTCTTTTTATTCTCACCACTTGTAAAAATTACAACTTTTGAGAAGAATATATCTTGTTGTCTGCCAAGTTATATAATTTTAATGGAAAGAAAGAAATCTGAGAAGATACTTTGAAAAGATTATATGCATGCAATCACAACAAAAATAAATACTTTAGATATACTCACAAATTACCATGTACTTTAGTTACAAAATTTAAATGTTTAATTTACCATTATATTTAGCTTTTAGTTTGGTGGGCTCACCTGTTTTTAATGCCTACAGCACATATTTTGGAAACAGAGAAGTCATGAATTATTATATTTTTACCTAGGAAAATTTAAAATCTTTTCTTTAACTGTGAGGAAACAGAATCGTTGTATTCCCTGTATACTTTATTAAATGAAATGAAATTACTTTTGAGACCATTTTGGCTGAAAAGAGTCCCCAAAATACTGTGAAACATACATTTATTTTTTCCAATTTAAGAATTGGAAAGCTGCCTTGATGTTATGGAAACATTATGTTTGCCACATAATTTATAAATTAAGGTATTTATAAGGTAGAAATTTTATATTGACTATAAAAAGTATTTTATTGGTTATAATTTTTTTTTTGTTCTGGGACTCGAACTCAGGGCCTTGCACTTGCCAGGCAGGCACTTGTGCAGCTGAGCTATAGCCCCAGCTCCTGGTTATGATTTTAAAGTTAGGTGTCACATGTCTTTCCTAGGATGCTGCTCAGGTATGCTTTTTCTCAACTCCGGTCCACTCAAATCGCCACAATCCACTGCAGCGCTCAGACTACTTCTCAGCATCTTCTGCAGAAGTTGAGCCAGACTTGCATGGTAATCAGCACAAATACTGGTCGAGTATACAGACCAAAAGACTGCGAAAGACTTGTTTTATACTTAAAGGATATCAACCTCCCCAACCTTGATAAGTGGGGGACCAGTACTTTGGTAGCTTTCCTGCAGCAGGTAAGTCTTGTTGCTTGGTGTGTTTTGATAAAATTGGATAGAATTGAATTCCATTAATTTTTCTTATATAGAGAGTATCTGTTTTCTTCCTTCTCGGCCAGTGTTGTCTAGCGTGTATCATGAAAATGAAATTCCTGGGGCATTTCAGTTTTGTTCCAAGTCACTTGCTTTGATCTCCCTGTTAGAAGTCAGCATTACATTAGGCTAATATGTGTATGTGGGGGCAAATAAAAACCTTAACTGTATATCTGGTACCTGTTCTTTTTTCCTAAAACGAGGAGAGCAGAAGCTGGAAGTAGTGCTGCAGCCGGGGAGGTTTTTGATTCATGTTTTTTTCAGATACACACTCAACCCCTGGCAGCTGTACTTAATTCGTCTGCCACTTTCTGGCTCGTTCCCTGCGGCCCCTCCTTTGGCTGCTGTAAGGATTCGAAACGACGCATTCGTGTTCAGTACAGAAGATCTTCCTTGTGTGTTTCATTTATATCCCATTTAAATATCTAGAACCTTAAAATTTGTTATGACTTTATTTAGGCCCATTTTAGCTTTAACTAAAATACCAGAATATTTTTAGAAAAAAGTATTTTCCTTGACTTCTGACACATTTTATGGTATTGCTACTATAACATCTGGATTTTCATATTTACTTGGGAGAAAAACATTTTAAAAATGAGGACAACTCAGTAAACATTAACAGCACAGATTAAACTATTATTTTTCAGTGGTGTAAGAATTTAAAATATATTTCAATCTTAAACTCTTGATTTATGTAGAGGAAGTGACTGCACTCAGATATAATTAAAAGTTAGGCGTAATATAATTAGCTGAGTTAAAGTATAAAACCTTTAAAATATATTTATTTTTCAATAGGTACTGACATATCAAGGATTTTATGATGAGAATTTGGAATGGGTTGGTCTAGAAAATATTCAGATTGTAGCGTCTATGTCAGCTGGTGGACGACTGGGAAGACACAAGCTGTCCACCCGATTCACCTCTGTTGTTCGACTCTGTGCTGTGGAGTATGTGTCTTAGTATTTAAACTGTTTTTTAACTTGGAGAGATAATAAATAATTGCATCCCGTTAAAGGTTTCCCTCGGTACTTTTTCAAAGTATGGAACATGTAAGTAGTCAGACACACCAGGTGTGGTGGCACATGCCTTATAGTCCCAACATTTGGAAGGCCGAAGCAGGAGGATTTCCGTAAGTTTGACGTCAGCCTGAGCTACGTGGTACGTTCAAGGCCAGCCTGAACTACATAGGAAGAGCCTGTCTCAAAAAGAAAAAAAAAGTGGTTAAACTAAAGATCTGATGTCTTTTTCCTATCCTTCCCAAAATAGGGAATAATTTAGGATGATAAAAACTTTAATCAGCAATATATAAAGAAATAGGACACGGTTGTTCTGTACAGTTTTTGTTTTAAAATACTAATATCAGGAATCAAAATGATGAATTTTAATTGTTTAAAATTTAATTTTGTAACTGACACATAGAAGAAAAATTGCATATATTAATGGGGTGCCATGTAACTTTGTTTGTTTGTTTGTCGGAGACAGGATCTCACTATGTAGTTGCAGCCATCCTGCTACGCGGGGCTATAGGCAAGCACCACCCTGCCTGGCACTACGTAATGTTTTACTACGTATTTCCATTGTGTGGTGTTTAAATCAGGTTAAACGTATCTATCTCATCAAACACTTTTCATTTCTTTATGGTGAAAACTTGGAAAGTCCTTTCTTCTAGCTTTCTGAAATGTGCCGTACGTTACTGTTGTGTGGTCACCTAGTAGCAGTCTCCCACCAGAACTTCTTGCTACTGTCTAGCTGAACCCAATGTCCGCTGATCACCATTTCCCTTTCCCTCCCTCTCATCTCATCTCCCCAGCCTCTGGCAGCTACCACTCTACTGTCAGCTTCTGTGAGCTCAGCTCTTTTATTTGCACATTTGAGAGAGATCGCAGTGTCTGTCTCTCTGCGCCTGATTCATTTCACTTAATGGGATGATCTCGGGTTCCATCCACGTTGCAGATAACAGGATTTCACTCTCCGTCATAGCTGAAGAGTGGCGGTCCCACTGTGCACGCGCCATGTTTTCTCTACCCGTCCCTTGGCTGATGGATACATAGGTTGTTTCCAGTTTCTGGCCATTGTGAATAGCGCTACAGTGAACATGCTAGTGCACGTTTCCCTCATACTGATTTTTACTTTCTTTGAATACATAAAAACAGTCACTGTAGATTTAGAAGTTTTACATGTTTCGTAAAACAAAAAGTATTATCAAATTCATGAAACAAATTTAAAAGAGAATTTAAATCTGAGTAAGATAGAATTAGATCATTTTAATGGTGGATGGCATCAATGCTGACACATACATCTAGCCATCCCTGAGGTTCAGAATTGTTGCAGGACTCCTGAATTTGCTGGTTGTGGCATTATCCCCTTTCTTATATTTTTGCTTTACTAAACCTTGCCCTTGTGCTTTTGTGTCAAATCTTCGTGTTTGCATGTTAATTGCACCTCATTGATTAATGATTTTTTACTAATGTATCATTGCTACCATTTAAGCTACATGAAATATATTTTGGTTTAGTAGAGACAAATGGATTTTATTTGTTATATTAGTCCTACTTTTGTCGTGCTGAGGTAGATTACTAACCTATATACAGGCTCTAGGTAACTCAAAATGAATTTTGTTAAGTAAAAATGTTCTTTTGTTCCTTTCTAAAAATCTTTTTTTTTTTCTTTTGGGCCGAGGGTGTAGCTCAGTGCCAAAGGCGCTTGCCTGGCAAGCTTTAGGTCAAGAGTTCGAATCCCGGTACCAAAAAGAAAAAAAAAAAATTTGTTTGAAACAGGTTTTTAATAATTCTTTTGGAATCCTCTACTAGCACTTGCAGTATTTGACAGTAGACACTTAGGGATCTAATTTGGTTGAAGTGAGAACAGGTAGTGTGAGCCTCGCCCTAGGCCTGTCCCTAGCCCCAAGCATAACTTGACCACCCCTATGACCGAACATTAACATAGTCATTTAGAATATTGATTTCAGCTTTCTTTTTTGCTTATGTGTCCCTTTTTAGTTACCCAGAAAGAGAGCAATTACAAACAATTTATGGAGCGTATTTGGAAGCAGTTCTACATAAAAATCTGAAGAATCATTCTATCTGGGGCTCTTCATCAAAAATTTACATCTTAGCAGGCTCTATGGTACAAGTGTATGAACAGGTATATACATGCGTTTGTATTGTCGTTTTCATGTCAGAACTGGCCTTATCTTCCTGTTGTGTGTTAAACTTTCCTACCTGGGAGTGAGCTTCGTGGGGGAAGGCGCGATCTGTGCCTTCTGTGTGAGGATACCCCAGGCGCGGTTTCTGTTAGGCACTAGTGAGCACAGAACAGACGCTCAAGTCGCAGAGGTAGTGCGGCGGAGTGAGCGGGTGCCGCTGTCCACCGGAGAGTGGCTACGGAGGTACCGCTTCATCTCCGGTTTGGAAATGAATGGAAATACAGTGACGAGAGATGGAAGATCTTTCTAGGTAAAGGGAACCGTGTGTGAGATGTTTGTGGGAGATGCTTTTTACGGTTTCAGAGAAGTGGAGAAAGAAAGCAAGAAATTACTCTTTAAAAAATGTGTGTGTGTGTGTGTGTGTATGTGTGTGTGTGCATATGTGGGTGGGAGTGGACATTAATTCACGTGTCAAGTGATCAAGATCAGAAGAGTAATGGGAGCTGAAGGACAGACTTTGAGGCCAGGCTTTTTTATTTTTTTTATTTTTTTTATTTTAAAGAATAAAGAGGCCAGGCATTTTGATTGGTTCAGAAACTTATGGAATATCAGTGAATGGGCCCGTGAGTGCCTTGGAATTGCAACCAACATTTCATAAAGGTTAGGTTAGCTTTCTTAAATTTCTTTACCCAGCCTACTTAAACGTTTTTCTGTTTTGGTTTTTTTTTCCTGTCATGGGCAACCTTTGCCAGTATATTGAAACCCATGAGCCCCTCTTACAATGTTGTTTTAAAGTGCATAGAGCTGAACATACAGGATAATTTTAAAAAATCAGTTCTATTAAAATCCCACCAACAAGTGGAGACTGTCATTCCTGGCCGGGTGTGGTGGTGCACACCTGACTTGGGAGGCTGAGGCAGTATCCTTGAGAGTTCAAGGCCAGCCTGGGATACATAGCAAGACCCTATCTCAAAACAAAAAAGTTTACAATTCCTGTGAGTTTAAGGTGATTGAAAAATTTATAGCATGATTACATATCTAAGAAAGTAGACAGATTATTTACTGTATTTTCTTTTATAGGTACGGGCCAAATTTACAGTGGATGAATATAGTCACTATCTGTTTACTCCTTGCATTCTTACACAGTGGGTTCTTGGTTTATTCAGATACGATTTAGAAGGAGGTAAGTTTTGCTGTTATTTGTGTGTGTGTGTGTGTGTGAGTGCATTTATGCTGCATATGTATTTGTAATAGATAAACGACTCTTGTGAGAGTATTACATTGTTAAAATTATGATACTATTAATATTAAATTTAAATGTCAAAATACAAATCAGTATTACAATTAAGTGATAATATATTTCTTCATGTAAAGTGTTCATTATTATCACTGTTAAACTTGATTTTACAAAAAATTGAAATCATTATCCTTTGTAGACAAAGGGATTTCATATGCTTTTTGGAATTGATATTTTTAATGAACAAGTAGGGATGATAGCATATAATGTAGCCTTTAAATAATTACAAAAACCTACTAGTTCAGTAACAAAATAAATTTTAACCTTTTTTCTTTTCTTCTATTTATCTGATGCCAAAATTATGGTATGTATATCCTCTCTCTTTATTTTAAAATTATATTAAACAAACCATTTAAAAATATTTTGGATTTTATTACAATTAAAGAAAATCTTGTGTTTCTCAGGCTCCGCAAACCATCCATTAGATTACGTGTTAGAGATTGTCGCGTATGAAGCACAGCGCTTATTTCGTGACAAGATTGTTGGTGCAAAGGAGCTTCATCTGTTTGACAGTATTTTAACATCTGTGTTTCGAGGAGACTGGGGCTCAGATGTCACGGAGAATATGGCAGGTACCGTGACAGAGTTCATAAAGTATGTAATTGTTACAGAAACTTTAACTTTTTCTTATCTGTAAAATAATTTCATATTTCTAAACAAATAAAATTTTAATGTTAATTTTTCCATACAGTTTTTCAATTGTATACAATTCAAAGAAAGTAAACATTTTTTTCTGAATGTTTTTCTAGATTTCTGTAATTGTGTTCCAGATTAATGACAGTAATTGTTTTCTTGGAAAAAATGAGCTCAGGCTGTACTGTTTTATATTTGCAACACAAAATTGATTTTTCCTAAAGAATCTTCACTCATTTTTTAAAAACAACTATGAATTTATAGAATTTAAAGATCATTGAGGAAATATATATTTAATTAGAATGACTTTGTTAACACTAATGGCCATTCTTTTTTCTGTCACTAGCTATGATGTCATTAAGCATAGAACTTCCTACATATATTTGCTGACAGCTTCATCCATTGTTCTATAAATAAAGCATAACCTACCACGTGTTCACTCCCAAAGCAGCTTTGTTGCATTTGGAGTTATTCTGTTTAATAACCAATTCGCATTTTGAAAACTGCTGTGGGAGCAATGTATTTAATAGAAAATCATCATGATGCGAGGGCCTTTGATAAAAGAAAACTGCAATAAGGAATTATTTCCTAGTAAAATTGTGTTCAGCCTACAAAATGTATTTATTCTTTCAGAATAAAAGGCAGGTTCAAAAATATTCCCAGTAACGTGTTCTACATATTGTGTATGTCGAGATGTAGTACTGATTCTAGGGCCAAAAGTATAAAAGCCAAAGAAAATATTGCAAATTGAAAGTGGGAAGGATGTTCAGATGGACAGGAGACATTTTCTAGGGCTGGCCTGAGATTTGGAATTAGGAAATGGGTTCAGGAGAACCTAAGGCAGTAGGACATGCTGAGAGAAACCTGCAGTGGTTGAGATTCTGGTTCGGTTTTGATCGAGGCTTTGTATTCGTTATAGCCTGCAGTGGTGGCGAGCCTATGGCATATGGGTTGTTTTTCTCTAAGGGAAAAGATGGCAATGTGTGAGTGTTTATTTCTAAACTGAAATCTCGGTGTTCAGGGTTGTTTGCAGTGTTGACACTTGGTAATAATTCAGTGGGTGTTGGGTTGCAGTTTGGGCCCTGCTCTCTGAAAGGTTGCTGCCGCTGGGTGGTTTCACAGCCTGTGGAGAGGCTCAGTTTCCTAAACGTTCCCTCTCTGAGCTTGTGTCAGTATAATCTCGTCTTGCAGAGAAATGCCACGTCCTTTGGGGAGCTGAAGTTGATAGTATACATTTAACTGAGCTCCTGAATTCTCCGGAGTTTGGTGTCTTCCCCCCACCTTTATTTTCGGTGCGTAAAATCAGACCCAGCGGCCTTGCACATGGTAGGCAACTGATGTACCACAGGGTGACCGTCCCAACCCTGGAGGGTAGCGTCTTTCAGAGCCCTCTACGTAAGACTTAGAAATAATGACACACAGAGTGATCAAAATATATGGAGAATATTTAAATGGAAACATTTATTATAATAAAAGATACACAGCCACTAACTCCCCTGTAATTACTCCCTGTCTTTGAACGCACTTACCCCAACCTTCCTGCCACTTCCTGAAGCTGGCTGGAGTCCTGTATGCGGTGTGGTGAGCTGCAGCGATGCTGCTCCCGTGTGCCGTCCGGAAAGGCGGGCTTGAAGAAACGGTAGGGTCCCTCCATCCGCCTTATTCACCACAGCAGGCACCGGGCAGCGTCTGGCTCTTCCCCACAGTCAAAATGACCACGAAAGGGAAACATTTTCAATCAGTTCAGGATATGAAGGCAGCCATGACAACTCAGCTAAAGAAGGATGCTCACAAGGGGACTTGCGCAGCTGCGGTAGAAGGCAGCAAAGAGAATGGGATGGGCATGTTTAACGTGCGTGGGAGTACTTCTTGGGGGGCTGTTAGTGACAGTGTGTCTTTTACTGTAAAATTTTTTAAAAATTTGAACATTCACCATATACTTTCTATCATACCTCGTACTTTTTTATCCTCTAAAAGCTTGTAATCTAATGGCACAAACAAATACAAAAGTCTTCTTGAGACTACTGCAACTGTGTTTACATGCCGTGGCAGTTGGTGGAAGTAGCTGATGCTGGAACCTACTTGCTTCAGCATTATTTATTGAAATGTTGATCTGCCTGAATTACTTTTCCACCTCTGTCAAAAATTATTAGCCTGTTCCTAGGTTCTTTCTTCTACTGATACATGTGTCTGACTTTTTTTTTGGTACCTGGAATCGAACTCAGGACCCTTCACTTGCCAGGCAGGCACTGTGCCGCTGAGCTACCTCCCCGGCCCTGTCTTTTCCCAGTATCCACACTGTCTTGACTGCTGTAGCTGCCAAATAATAAATCTTGCTGTTGGGGTTCCTCTTACTTTATACTTTTTCCTCAAAGTTCTTTTAGCTAGTTTAATTCTTTTTTCCTTTCCGTGTAAGTTTTAGATTATCTTATTTATAAATATGTTGCTGAGATTTTGATAGGTATTACATTAAATCTGCATTTTTTATGGTTAGAACTGATCTCTGCTACGTAGTCTTTCAGTTCCGGAACATGATATGTTTCTTCTTTTACTTAGCTCTTACTTGCTTTTTGCTCATCAATACTATGAAGTTTTCAACATGTAAGTCCTACGTATGTTTTGTTGGAATGCAACTTAGATTTTTAATATTTTTTAGCAATTATAAATTTTCATACAGTGTTTTAAAGGAAGAACATAGTAAATAGAAAAAGGGAAAGGCTTTCCAGATAAGGGATAAAGAACATGAAATAGAAGCAAAGACTTGAGAAAGCTAGTGTACTCACTTAACGTAATACTACTAACATAACAGCAGTAGTACTGGTGTAATAGAGGGAGACAGGAGATCTCAGCATTCACTAGAGCTGGACTAGAAATCTTTACTGAAAGCCTGAATATATCTATTATATATAGATATTATATATATATATATATATAGCTGTGTGTACTGTTGGACTCATGTGGATGGTGCACTTAAGATTTTTTGTATGTGTTGGTCTAGTAGCAGTGAGCATATGCTGGAGGGGCAGAGACTTGGAGGAGGACTGTCAAATAAGAGGCCACTGAAATAGGTTGTGAAAAATGATGAGACAGTCTAACATTTATAGTTTAAAATGTATTTATTATACACATGTTTGAATATTTTCAAGCTTTTTGAGTCTGGGAACTGTATTTAGAGTTGATCATCTATGAGGTAGGAATCATGCTTTTCTTATTCATTATTTATATGTAGTAGAAAATACAATATTTAAATTGGGGTTCTCCATAGATAACTGTTGAGTGAATGAGTGTGACTTCTATGTCATTTAGGAACTATAAATGTGAGACTAGCAGAGCTTTGGAGTTTTGCCTGTAAATAAGCAGTGAATGACTTTTGATGTATAGAAATTGCTAATAATTTAATTCAGAAAAACAGATAAACTGGACTCCAGAATTGAAAGCATAGAAGGTTAAGTTTGGATTCTGGGGCACTTAAATATGTAAAGGCTAAGCAGAAAACTAAAAAAGGTGGCAGTTTGTGGCTGGATGTGTAGAGTCATATAGATCCAAGAAAAATGTTGCACAACGTGGGTAAAAACGTTTATTTTAGGGTCATGATTGCACAGATGACTTGATTTTGGAGAGTAGAGCTTCACTGTTATCCCCAAATAAGAATTCCGGAGTAGTGGAATTCACGGCTAGAAAAAAAGCGTGAGGATTGTGGCAGTGGCGGAAAGGAGAGGAAGGGAAGTGGTTCTCGTTTAGGAGATGGCAGAACTGAGCGTGTAGCAAGGAGGATGCCTGATGGGGCGGTCCCGGGATAGTGGGGAAGGAAAAGGTTCAGTAGAATGGTGAGTAGATTTTCCTGATATGCTAACACAGCACTGCTATAGACAAATTTAAGGGTGGTTTGGAAGGTTTTGTTTTGGAATTAAAATTTTTCTTTTATTTTAGAAGTTAGGCCCCTGAAGGTATTATGTTCTTTGTCAATCTGGTTTGTTTTATGTCAGTTTTATATAAGCTATTTTTAGTGGACAGATCTCCTCGAGAGGTTCTGGAGAAGGAAAATGGGACACACTGAGAGCGGGCAGGTTAGCAGGGCAGTGTCTCAAGGCCATTTTGTCTGGGCTTTAATCAGCCAGTTCTCTGTCAGAGTTTGTTGTATCTTACCTGACTGTACTGATCTTCCCAGTGATGGTGTCTATGGTTTTGATGTAATTTTTCCTCTTCTTTCTGAAGATAATCTTATTTGGACTGATGAAAAATAATTTTTTAAGCAATGTACTTACTGATTCCTTCACTACTAAGAATGCGTAAAAGACAAAGCATCTTTTATTCCTGCAGGTAGCTTCTATGTTACCTGGGGAGCGCGACATAATGCAGGCGCAAGGCCAGGCCAGGGGCAGCCGTTACCGCCACATGGAAAACCGCTCGGAAAGCTCAGCTCTGCGGATCTCAAGGATGTTATTAAAAAGGTATAATGTGAGTCATGGATTTGGGTTGAGATTTGGTTATGATTGCAGTAATTTAAAATACATGTATTGGAAACATTTTCAAGGCTTAGAGAGGAATGGTCATAGGACAGACCAAGGGTACTTTCGTTCCTTTGGAATTGTGTTCATTCTGGCAGCCATAACTAGAAGCACATGTACTTAGAGAGCTAGGTATAAAATTGCAGAGATACATTTTAGGAGATGATATTTGTTGAAAATATTAATGAAGCCTAATATTAATGGGGAAATTACCCTAAAGCAGTGATTATTAAATATTAGCATCAGAATCAGTGAGAGAAGCAGAAAATGTGCAGATTCCTGGTTCCCATCTATAGATCGTCTGAGTAGGCAGTGCCCAGAGAGTCTACAGTTCTAACAGGCCCGGACGATGTCGACCTCCCTGGGCCACGGAAACTTGGAGTGCCACTGTCCTAGAGAGACAGAGCAGTTTTTCTTTCTTTTTTGTTTTTATTTCTTTCTTTGAATCTTTCTCTTTCAGTTTTGTTGTAATAAAGAAGAGATAGTATTCCTATGATTGTTTTTAACAGTTACTATTTATAGTAAAAGTTAGTATGCATTTGTGTCAGAAATTTTTTTTATGCTCTGGTAAATGGGTTGATATGCCATGAATGATTATATATATATAAAATATATGTATATTATATATGTTTTATTTATATATTTGCATAATATACATAATATATTATATATATTATATATAAAATATATAGTCTTTTTGAGACAGGGTTTCACTGTGCAACCCAGGTTGTTCTAGAACTCACTTTGTAGCCCAGGCTGGCCTTGAACTCGCAGTGATTCTTCTGCCTCAGCCTCCCGAGTGCTGGGATTACAGGTGTGCTCCATGTGCTCTGCTCATAAATGACTGTTGCAGTTTGGGAATCTGTGCAACGCTGTTCACTGTGTGAAGCTGACCGTCTCTCCCCTCTTCCTGCACTTGGCACACACTCCCTAGTAGTACATGTTGCATTTGTGGGATTTCGAGAGATTCCCAAGCAGTGCAAAAGAACAAGAGCTCCCATAAGATTTCTTAGACATTGTGTTTCTAGAGTTTTGAGATTGTTTGATAGTCTGTGCTCAGTGATTTGTAATAACTGATAAAGCTGCAGAGCTTTTAAAGGTTTTGAATTAAGCTACTATCTCCTGTTGCTTTTTGCCAATGTATTAATGTCCAAGGCAACTGACTTTTGTGGACCCTTGAACTTGTTTGACATTGTATGAGAATTTCCTTAGAGAGTGCTGGTAAGCTGGATTATTAGCTAAGTAAGATATGGAGTATGGTGTGCTGTTATTTCACCCTTTTTTCCTGAGTGTATCAAAAATATAATTTAATCTAGATAAGCAACCTTTTCATTGTATAATTAGTAGTTATGTTAATTGTAAAATATTCTTTTTATCTTTTCAAAGGGCCTTATTCATTATGGACGAGATAACCGGAATTTAGATATTTTACTTTTCCAAGAAGTCCTGGAGTACATGTCCAGGGTAGACAGAGTGCTGACCTTCCCTGGAGGCTCACTTCTTTTAGCGGGACGCAGCGGTGTAGGTCGTCGGACCATAACTTCCTTAGTCAGTCACATGCATGGAGCGATGCTGTTTTCCCCAAAGATTTCCAGAGGATATGAACTGAAGCAGTTCAAAAATGATCTCAAGCATGTGAGTTGCTCATAGTCTTTCGCTTTACTTGGCTTTAAAGTACATTTTTTTTTTTTTTTTCGGTTTTTCTCCGGTACCGGGAACCGAACTCACAACCTTGCGCTTGCCAGGCAGGTGCTTTTGCCGCTGAGCTAAATCCCCAGCCCCAAAGTACGTTATTAATTTAAATGCTTTTTAAGACCTTTATGTCTCATATACAACATAATCAATTTTGATCATAAACTGTCCCATAATTATTGTAGAATTATGTTTTATAGAAAAGAGATAGGAAAGAAATTCTTTGTAGGATTTCTAGGTCTCAGTTGCCCCAATTATGGGATATTTGATATATATAAATGATAAACAAGAGGATAGAATTTACATAGGAAATATATAGAGATATCTATACAATGATCTTCTATTTTTTGTTTTAATGTCTTACCTTTAAAATAATTAAAATTTCCCTTAACTAGTATTTATTAAGGAGTTTGATTTACTATCCAAACTATGACAAAATTGGATTTAATTTTAATTATTCAAGTAAAATAAATACATCATAATGACATGCTTTACATAGAGAATGATAATTTTCCACTGTAGCAAAAGTACAAGACAAGCACTAAAGATGTGTTTTTATGTTGTAGGTGCTTCATCTTGCAGGAATTGAGGCACAACAGGTAGTTCTACTTCTTGAGGATTACCAGCTTATACAGCCTACATTTTTGGAGATGATCAATAGCCTTTTGTCTTCAGGCAAGTGAAAATAAAAGTGAGAATGTGAAATTATCCACATTAAGTTGTATAAGATTTGCCTGTGTTTCAGGGAATGTTTGGCACTGTTATTAGCAAGGCCGTAGAGAATTAAACACACTTACGGCTGGAGAATTGAGAAACTCTATAAAACTAGTAACTTAGGAGTTGTTTAAATGTTACTGATCGTATTGAATATTAGTAGGTATATAGGAAAATTGGTATTCTCATGTATTTTTAGCAGGCTATTATCTGTTTAACCTTTTGGAAAGTTACCCACTAACACTCATGAAAAAAAATCTACTGCACCTTTTGATGTAGCATGTAATTATCTATAGGAATTTAACCCATAGAAATAAAAGAACGAGTATGTGCACAAAAGTCTAGTATAATTTATAGTCACAAAAAGTTTGATAAAGCCTGTCATTGGTGAAATTACTAAATGATTATGGTATGACATTAGTATGGATATATAAATACAAATATATTTCAGCTATGTGAATGCCGTAGAATTCTACATGTTGGTACCCAGGTTTCATGTCTATCTGAAATATATATGAACCTGGTGTAATGCACATATTATTTCTTTAATTGATTTGAATAAATCTACTACTTACTAAAGTAATCTCACTTTTGATAAGAAATTAAAATTCTTTTTAAGAAAAAAAGAACTGTAGCTGGGCATGGTGGTGTACACCTGCAATCCCAGCACGTGAGAGGCTGAAGCGGGAGGATCTCTGTGAGTTTGAGGCCAGCCTACACTACATACCGAGACCCTGTCTCAAAAAAAAAAAAAAAGGAACTATAAATATGCATCTATTTAACAGAAAAGCGTCATTTGAAAGAAGACTATATTTTTTTTTGTCTTTTTTGAGACAGGGTCTCGCTATGCAGTTCAGGCTGGCCTCAGGCTCACTTTGTAGCCGAGGCTGGTCTCAAACTCACAACGATCCTCCTGCCGCAGCTTCTGGGGTGCTGGAATTACAGGCGTGCACTATCACACCTGGCCAAGAAGACTGTATTAAATAAGTACCTTTTACAAATTTAAGAACAAGTGGTCTCTTGTTGTAAAAATTGGTACCTGTTTGCAGCACATAATGTATGATTATGGAACTTGGTTGTAGAAGTAATTACTGCTTTATTTCTCAAGATTTTTATGTTTGACAATCATTGCTTCCAAGATAAAATATTTAAAAAATTGGTACCTGTTTCTCTCTTGTTGTAAAAATTGGTACCTGTTTGTAGCACATAATGTATGATTGTGGAACTTGGTTGTAGAAATAATTACTGCTTTATTTTCTCAAGATTTTTATGTTTGACAATCATTGCTTCCAAGATAAAATATTAAGCACTACATCCATTTTTATTCTCTACCATTTTAAAATCTCTAATTGCATATTAGAATTTCCTGGAGAATTAAAAATAAAACTAAAAATGAATTCTTCCTTGCCACCCTAAAATCACTAAGTCAGACTCCCTTAGTGGAGGGGTGTTTTGATCCTGAAGCCCCTAGTTGATACGGGACCTTTGTGCCGAGCTGCTCCCCCAGCTTGCTTTCATCTTTTACTTTGAAGCAGGGTCTCGCTAAGTCACTGAGTAGCCCCAGCGGGGCTCACATCTGTGGCTTGCGTGCCTACTTCAGCCTCCGAGAGTTGTTGCATAGAGAGGAGAGATGGCCACCACCCCCAGGTCCATCTCCTGGTTCTGAAGCAGATCTGGGGCTTTCCCTTCCCTCCTGCCGTGCGTTCTTCCTCAGGAAGTAGTAGGACTGTGCTGTGGTTCGCGACACTCGAGCATTTTGGCGTTTTCCCGGGGAAGATGCTTGCAAATTCCTCATTTTTTTTTTCCGAAGAATTTGTGAAGTTTGTTATGATTTTTTTATAATGCGTAATCACTGGTAAAATTTGTATGAGATAGTTTATTTTTAAGCGTGGGTCAAGAATATTTCTTATGTAAGTATACAAAGTAAAAAGAGGATTGTTCCATTTTAAGGACTCAAGGACAAAGTTGTATGAAGGGTTTTTCAACTCAGTTGTTTTTCCACATTTGTCTCGACCTGTTTTTTAAAATAAGCTTTTAAAAAATTGGTACCTGTTTGCAGCACACAATTACCTTCCTATTGGGGAGTTTTTAATAAATGCTTGTTTTGTATCATGCTAGGCTCTGAGATAAAAATGATCTTTTTCCCACAATGTAATAGCTTTGGGTAAAGAAAGCATTTGCATTTAATTTGTAATGTTTTATATATGTATTAGAAGGGAATGTGAACTACAGACCAAGTCTGGAGTCACACAGGTGGTAGACAGATTAATTTTTGTTTCACTTGAGGTCTAATGATTTAGCAAAAGTTGTAGCACTTGAGGAAACTTAGAATGTTTGTGGCTGATTTATAGAATAACGACTTTTGTTTTGAAGAAACACATTCCTCCATATTGCTTAACATCACTAGAGATCTTATTTCTCCTGACATAAACTGAGACCAGATGTGCAGTTGTGTGTGTGTGTGTGAGAGAGAGAAACTCCCTGAGAGCCATGGACTGAATATGTTTGGAAAGGTGAATTTGTCTTTGTTATCAAGACAAATTTGTGCAAAACCATAACCCAGTTAAAGTTAAACTTGGGGACTGTTTTTCAGAGACACTGTTCCAAAGTCTTTGTTTCTTTTTTAATTTCAAATTGTTATTCTCTAAAGTTTAAGTATAGAATATGTAAGCAGAACTAGCATTCTTTAATAATTTTAGCAAATCAAAGGTATCTTGCTATGTCTAATTTTTTTTGTTTTTTGAGAGATGGTCTTGTTATGTAGTTCAGGCTGGGCTTGGACTCATTATGTAGCCCAGGCTGGCCTGAAACTCATGGTGGTCTTCCTGTCTCAGCCTCCCAAGTGCTGGGGTTATAGGCATGCGCCACTATACCTGGCCATGTGGCTGAAATTTAAAGAAAGCTGTAAACAACATATATGTGTGCATGTGTTTAGTATATATAAAGTTTGGGGGGTAAAGGGGATTCTAGTGTCTGGAAGCTGAACCTAAAGAAAAGTGGTGATCATATTTTGAAGAGTCCTGCATGGATGTAATGTTTTGGATGTACAGGAAGGAGTTTTCACTTGATCTTGTGGTTTCCTGTGAATTATTGTTTTAACAAATATTTTTAAAGCTATGTGCAGTGACAAGCTTTACACAAAGGATTTATAGCAACAAATAAGACACGATCCAGTCCTTCTCTCCAATGTTTATAGCATTAACTTTGTTTTTTTTTTTGTTTGTTTGTTTCTTGTTTTTTCTTCCGGTACCAGGAATCGAACTCACAACCTTGTGCTTGCCAGACAGGTGCTTTGCTGCTGAGCTAAATCCCCAGCCCCTATAACATTAACTTTGATTTCCTTTTTATTCTTCTGTTGCATAGTAGCAGGCCATGGAGTTAGTCAGCTCTTTTCTAGTACATGTTCATTTGTTCATTTATGTTCCAGATAGTTAGGTATAATATTCCCTAACATAACATTTAATATCATGAAATACTTGCCCTTTGTATATTCAGAATCTATCTGGGCAGGAGAGGGAAGTAATTCATTCTTAATATGGTAGTTGTGAAACAGAGATATATTTGGATGGTAAGTGAAAAAGAGTGTTTTTCTTAATATATAGGTAACTAGGGCATAACAACTGGTGAAGTAGTGTCTTAAGGGATAAACAGTATGGGAACAATAAGGGGCAGAGGATTAGGCGTTCACACCAGGAAGTGAGAATAGTTTGTTATATTTATGGAACACAAGTTCACTGAGGCTAGAAGCAGGGCTTTATGGGAAAAAGTAGAAGAAAAACGATTGATGGTACATAGTTGGCTAGATTATAAATGTTACTGAATGACTTGCTGAGGAGTTTAAATTGTATTAAATAAAGCCTATCGATCTAGATTTGGAGTTGGGTATGGGATTTGTGTATTTTTAGAAGGAAAGATTGAGTAAGAGCTGATTATTTAATGTGAAAATTAAAAAGCATTATATATGTAAGTGTGTTTTGGATTAGTATATTACAGCCAAAAGTAAAAAGCAATGTGATATTATTTTGTAGGTGAAGTGCCTGGACTCTATACTCTGGAAGAATTAGAGCCCTTGCTGTTGCCTCTTAAAGATCAAGCTTCACAGGATGGCTTTTTTGGACCCGTCTTCAATTATTTCACGTATAGTAAGTGATATACAATTTATTTATCAGATCAATCTCTGATTCAGATAAAATAAATATCATTCTATACCTTTCTCTTTTTTTTCCTGGAACTTTCAGAAGGTAACAAACAGCCTGGGGGCTGGACTGTGATAAAAATACCTTGGCAAAATTTTAGCAAAGGGCAGTGATGAAAATGTGGAATATGTAGTTTGTTTCCTTTATTTTCATGTGACAAATTCATGCTACTTTAGTATCTGCTGTCTTAAAGAGTTATTGAACTATTTAGATTGGGTGAGACTATAATTTTTTTAAACTGAATAACCTTTATTAATGCATTTATGCACACTTAAAGTTTAAAATTGGAATAAATTTAAAAAATGAGAGACTAATCACACATGAAGGCATGGTTGTACTTACACCATTCATGGCTTCCCTTCTGAATCTTTTTCAGGGTTCACACACACTATACTTAGATATATTTATAAGTATTGCATCGTGTATTTCATAGTTTGTTCCTTTTAACAGACAGCTCTTATATTTCACTTCAGGACATTTTAATTTTATAAAACCAAATCAGATATAGATTTCCTGAGTCTATGTTTTATAATTATTCTTGATTATAATTTTCTTATATGTTTCAGGAATTCAGCAAAACTTGCATATAGTCTTGATAATGGATTCTGCAAATCTAAACTTCATAATAAACTGTGAAAGTAATCCAGCTTTACATAAGAAATGCCAGGTGTTGTGGATGGAAGGTTGGTCAGATAGCAGTATGAAGAAAGTAAGTTTACATTTAAATATGAAAATCATAAAAAAGCCCATTATATATTATAAGCCAGTTGCTTTCTAC